ACCAGCACCCCCAGTCCTTTCCCACTGGGCACTTTCCAGCCCCTCTGCCCCATCCTGGAGAGTTCCATGGGTTGTTGTGACCCGAGGGTGGCACTTGGCCTTGTCCCTCACACCATTGGAGGGATCCTCATGGCACACGAGCAAAGCAAATACTTTCCCATTTGTGATAAAAATGAGGTGATGGGTGCTCTACATGGAGTCAGAGGTAACCCTTCCTTCTCATGTGGGAAGCCCTAAATTAAGAAATAGCATTACAGTGATTTTCCAGGATGCTGGGAAAAGTCATGTGGAAACAGATTATTTGTTATTTCTGCTATACAATCACAGGATCAATCTAACCAAATAAAATGCTGTAATCTGATTTGATATAAATGGCTGCTGACATTCATACAAAAAGCCTGAGTCATTACTTAGCTTATTCTGTACCCCTTACTCTTATCACAATAGATTGAACGTTAGTGACTGTACTGGTGAGTCATACTTATTCACTTATGATTTTTCAAATTGTCCATGTATTTGATTTTTTTTTTTAAAGAGGAATTGGCCAGGTTGATATAAACAATCTCCTTTTAATGATTTTTCTTACAGTTGTGAGGACGTATTCTAGTGATGAGATTTATACTGGGTTGTGCTTTACTCACTTCCAGAGCTTTTCTGCTTGGTCACACTAACTCTGGAGTAAGCTCATGCTCAGCATGAATTGGGAAAATCCCATTATTCTTCCTGTCCTTTGCCTTGACATATCCTGTAAAACTGAGCTATCTGTAGGAATTTATTAGGTCAACACTGAGAATGAAAATGTTCCTGTAATAGTCTTTGTGTGTATGTGTGTGTTACTTCTTTCTGTACGGTAGCTCTGCTGTTGTCGGTCTCCTCAGACAATAATCCCCTCTCCATTTCAGTCTGTCACCACAAGTGAAAGTGAGCTGAGATCCCAAGAGACTCTTGATTTAACCAGTGATCCACCTATCCACTTGGTACTCATGATGTCTGAAACTGGGCCTAACAATTTAACACTCTTGGGCTGATGAAAGTAGAGTTCATTTTTGGATGAGAGTGAGATTTAGGCACTTAAAAGGGGAACTGTCTCTATATTGCATGGCCAGGCTGAACTGTGGCCTGTTCAAGAGGCTGTTTGGGGTGGTAATTCGTAAACTTGGACACTCGTCAGTAAAACAACAGGAATCCCAGAATGGTTTGAGTTGGAAGGAACATTAAAGCTCATCTAGTTCTACCTGCTGCTGTGGGCAGAGACACCTTCCACTAGCCCAGGTTGTTCCAAGCCCTGTCCACACAGGATTTATGCTCATGTTGCTGCAGCAGCACGGCCTGCGAGGTGCTTTTCCTTTAGGAAGGAATGCTGTCAGCCCTGGGAACAGCACAGTCACAGATAATGTGATGCCACCAGATATCAGGGAAACAAAACAATTTGTGTTAGTAATATCAGTGTCCTTGCAGATGTGCTCAGAGGCTTCCCCTGCATCTGTCAAGGGTTGGACTCTCCAGCTCCAGCTCAACTGCAGGTCTTTGTGTGTGCTTGTGCTGCAGCCCTTAATTAGCTGAAGATCAGCTGGAGCAGAGGAGACTGAGGGCAGAGCTCACCGGGGGCTGCAGCTCCGATCTCTGCTCTGTGGGAACCAGGGACAGCACCCAGGGAATGGCTGGAGCTGTGCCAAGATCAGGTTGGATCTCAGGACAAGGTTCTTCCCCCAGAGGGTGGTTGGCACTGCCCAGACTCCCCAGGGCAGTGGGCACAGCCCCAAGGCTGCCAGAGCTCCAGGAGGGTTTGGACAATGCTCTCAGGGATGGGGGGGATTGTTGGGGTGTCTGTGCAGGGCCAGGAGCTGGACTGGATGGTCTTTGTGGGTCTCTTCCAACTCAGGATAATCTGAGATGGTATGAAGACTCTTCCATTAGGCTTTGTGGGATGGACAATGTATGTGAGCAGCGTTGAGATAATTTTGGGATCACAACTCTCTTTGCTGCAGATGTTTGAAGCAAACGTTCTTCAAGACTTTCTTCATGGCTCTTGGTGGATGTAACAGGGACCTTCTGGTAGTGCTGTATTTGACTCCTCTGCCACAATAAAATTTTTAGGTATAGAATCTATTAACCCAAACTCCATGGATAATGTAGTGTGAGCTTGCAGAGGGTGTAATGTAATTATGACAGGGTCAAGTAACTGATAGGAATGAGGTCCAATGTAAAGGACATAAATAAGTATTTGAGTCACTTAAACATAGATGTCTGCTGCTTCTTCAGATGTTGGCTCCTGGAAGGGCATGAATATGTGTCTGTCTGCCAGGTGCACTCACATGTCTGAAATGGCACTGGATGCCTGGGTTTGGGCACCTGCCTCTGTTTAGTGCATCCTGGAAGACTGACAAGACAGCAAAGCAAGAGTTCCCATTTGGAGTAACGCCAGCAGGAGTTGGGGTGGGATGGGCCGTACGAAAACCAGGATATTGGGCTTTGTCTGTCACATCGAGGCTCCCTGGCCCTTTTGTCCCTGTTGAGAGCTCTGTCCGTGTGTCCTTCCCCCGCGGTGAGCGTGGGTGTGTTTGGGAGGCAGTTGGTGATGACGTGATCGCATTTTTGTCTGTCTGCACCATCCTTGTCTCATCCAACATGGAGGGCAGGTGGCGCTTGGGGATTCATCCCGGCCCTGCAGTCAAAGAGGCTGTTGTTTGCAGCATCCCAGATGCGTTTCCTGCAGATGTTGAAATAAATGAGGTGGGGGGTTATAGGAAAAGAGAGGATGATCTCATGTCTAAGCCAGTTCAGTGATCATCTGGGGAACTGGAACTCTGCCTTTAGGATGCAAGACAAACAACTCGAACCAGGCTTAACCTGTTTTCTTAGTTCCAGGGACAGAGCAGTATCCTCAGCTTGGTTTTGTGTATCCTCTCAAATTGAGTGTGGTGCTTGTTGGTAGTTGGCTGTGCATTTAGGGGAAATGTGTATTTTCTGATTTATGACTTTAAAAATTCCTGTTCATGACAGTGATTGGATAGGACTTGCTGTTCCTTTTTCTGGATTGCCTTTGAATTCCAGCAGTTCCTCCAAAACTGATATGGCTGGGCACATTTACTCCAGTGCTGAAGTCTTTCTTATTCAGACTTCCTTAGATAAAAACAAATAAATAAGCCCAGGGTGATTTCTAGCCTCAAGCTATTGTTAGAGCTGCCAGGAAAGGGTGGGCAGGCACTGGCCCAGGCTGCCCAGGGAAGTGGTGGAATCACTGTCCCTGGAAGTGTTCAAAAAATGTGTAGATGTGGTGGGTTGGTGGACCTGGCTGTGCTGGATTAATGGTTGGACTCAATTATCTTGGAGGGCTTTCCCAGCCTTAATGATTCAGTGATTAATGAAGGGATATTGTAATGTTCCAGTGATCATAACAAAACTAGATTGTTATTGTAATGCCTGCACATAATTGCTTGAGAGCCAGGGGTTTGGGAGTGATAGAAATCATCATTCTTTAGGGCTTATCCTGCCGTTTCAGAATTGAGGATTAGGAATCATTTCCTTGAGACCAAGCCTCACGTGGTGCTTTGCTTCTTTTCACTCTGAAGTTTTTGTGATGGTTCAGGTCTGATCATGGTCCAGCTGGACCTGAGAACTGATCCTGTGCAGCAGTCCCCATGGATTTTTAGAGATGCAGAAAGGAGTAACCTCCCTTTGATGGTTGGAAACAGTTCTGAAGTTGAAGGTCTCTGGTGACCCCTGATTTTCACCAAGTGTTCAGAAAGCAGTGGCCTATGAAGAGTCTGTTTAAATCCTTCCAGCTGATTTGCAGTTTGCCTGTCACAGCCTCTTGAGCATCTCCAGAGAGCTGGGGTGGTCTGGAGATGACACACAGCTCTGGCTGGAATTGCCTTTCTGGGTTTACAGAGGGCACTGTTGCTGCTCCTTTAGAGTTCTCAGTCCTGGTTTTAACTAGGATTGTAATGTATGGAAGCATATATATTAGAATGTATGTAAGGGATGAATGTGATGCCTCTCTTCTTTTGTTTGTCTGTAGGATACTGGGATGACTGGAATTCAAGATATTTGATTCCCGCTCTTACCCTGAGGTAGAGGAAATAAGCACGAGAAATTTCTACAGCTCAGGCAAGTAAATATCTGTATCTCCATAGTTTATTGAAATTAATTGCTTGGTAAACAAGTGAGTACTGGGAACCTTCCTAGAGCAGAGGAACTGATTTGTACTGTTACAAAATACAGTTTAAAAGGAACATAAGAATTTTAATTATTTTTTTTTTATTATTTAGTAGGGAAAGGATCTTTCATACTGAACTCTGCTCTGAAAAAGGAGAAAACCTCTCCTCTGTGGAATTGAAATAAATATTTGACAGTTGCCTGGAATAAAAATTAAGCAAAAATGTCTGTCATAGATCCTTACCAGCACATTGTGGTAAGTAGCTCTGAATCTTCTGTGTATACTGTCTTCTGTAATATATCCTGTCTTGTATAATGTGTTCTACTAGAGGTTACTCTAAATAAGCACATAACATTGCAGTTACTAATTCCTTAAAGAAATGGTGTGTGTAACTTTATCCCTTACAGTACAATTTTTTTTGGTACAATTCTATTTACTGACTAACTCTTTCCCTTTTCATTACTATGGATAGAGGAGTGAGTTGACAATTTTGGGTATTTAGATCTTAAACTAGTGTATATCAATGATGTTGGTTCAAAGATAATCTTCAGAATACATCCTGCAAACTCAAGGTCTGAGTGAAATGGTCTGTGCTACTCAACAGCAGCTGCTGCTGAAAGCTCCTGCTCCCTCCTTCCTGCTTTATCCCAGTGTTCCTGCTGCATCCCTTGTCCCAGCTATCAAACCCACGTCTTTAGGGAGACAATTGACCTTGATGAATTGGCAGAAAAAACAGTTCAATACAAAAATAGACCAAAAAAAGTTATTAGTAAGGGATTCTTGGCTGTGAGGGTGGGGAGGCCCTGGCACAGGTTGCCCAGGGAAGCTGTGGCTGCCCCTGGATCCCTGGAAGTGTCCAGGTTGGACAGGGCTTGGAGCAACCTGGGCTAGTGGAAGGTGTCCCTGCCCATCGCAGGGATGGGCTTTAAGGTCCCTTCCAAGCCAAACCATTCCAGGATTTCATGGACTGATTAGAAAATCCGTTTTGTGCTGTCAGAGCTGGCCCAGGGGGAGGGTGGAGCCGTGTCAGCACAACCTGTGTAGTGGAGAAGCAGGGACAAGAGAAGGAGAAGGGAAAGGGGAGCAGAACTGCCCTTTGTGGGGCAAGGCAGTGGCTCACTGAACACTGGGATATTCCCATGTAGCTCTCCTGGAAGTGACTTTCTGGAGTAAACACGAAATGGCAATTCCTGCTCAGGCTGAAATCTGGAGCCACACCGGGCGTGTTCCTATCGCGGGCTTCTCGGAAGAGCCCCGGGATCCCCCAGCAGGAACAGTGACGTGTACCCAGAGATAACCACGCTTGTCAGAGTGCTGTGCTTCTAAAGCATGGCTAAAAATACACCCTGGGCTTCCTTGAAGCGATCTCTTATCGGTGCTGTGGTTTGTACCCCACACGTTCACATCCTCTGCTCCAGTTTGCAGCCAGCACGTGCCAGACTCGGCTTTGCTCCTCCACAGGCCTGTGAACTCAACTGGAAGGACCAACTGCAGGTTGATGTCTCTGTTTAACTGTGTCACAATTCGCTGACTTGCTCCTTTTGGCATCGCTGCCCTCTCCTGGATGGAATGCTTGGAATGATCTGTACCTTTATGGGAGAGGTCTCTGAGGCACTCGGTTGTAGTTCATTGAATCATTCCCGTGAAAGATCTTTTGATACCAGTATATATATTGTAATAAACACTGTCAGGGCAAGAGCTGATCTTTTAATTGCTTGAAAAGTGAATGGAAATCTTTTGAGGTTTCTTAATTTGAAAGTTGAAATTCCATGGAAGTTTTTACTGGAATTTGGAAGGCAGCAGGCTCGTACCCATGCAAAAATCTTGGATTTTAAGAACATTTGGCATTAAAAGACTCAAAAGTATTCTCCCTAAAAGTCCTTTTGCTGATTTGTGTGTTGTCTGATCTTTTTATTTATCTTTCTTTCACGTTTTGTGAAAGACTCTGAGGAATAAAAAGCTACTGGAGGTGCAGACTGTGCCAAAAAAGCTTTAGATTTAGAGACTTAAGATATGTAATACATCTTTGGTTACAATGATATGGGGGATAAATATTATAACAATGGGAAAAATGGCTTCAAGGTAAAATTGTGTGTGTGTGTGTGCACAAATGTTTGTCTGAATTGAAATACCCTGTGAAAGAAGAGCATGGACTCTGAAAATCTATTACTTAAGTAAACAGGCAAATATTGTCATTTGTCCAGCCCAACTGTGAGCTTAAGTGACCTTAACATTGAGGAAGTAAAACTATTAAATACTTATGCAATCTGCCCGTGCCAGAGCTTCCTGATTGGGGTTGGTGTGCAAGGCAGTCTCCTGATGGAGTTGTGTTCTGTGACTCAGCATTCTGGAATACACAAATATGATATTGGAGACATGTAAATTCCTCCTTCTTGGCAAGTCCGGAAAGTTTGTAGGTAAAACCCACCTGCGTTCCGGGAGACTTTGGTGTGAGGTTGTTTCCCAGCCCCAGAGTGGGAAGGTGATGGTGTTTGTGTGCTCACAAATATGTAAAAGATGCAAAGTATGTTAAAGGGAGGAAAGCAGATAATTAGGGAAATTTTACTGGGAGGAAGGCAAGCAAAGGTGAGGGAGGAAGAAAGGAGGCAGAGGAGGAGTTAGGAGAGATGGAAAGGTGTGTGAGAACAGCAGATATTGAATTGTGACTGTGCAGGATACCTGGAATCCCAGAACATGCTGAGTTGGAAGGGACCCACAGGGATCATCAGGTCCAACTCCTGGCCTTGCTCATGCCCCTCCCCAAGAGTCACACCAGGTGCTTGAGAGGATCATCCAAACACTCCTGGAGCTCTGGCAGCCTTGGTGTGTGCCCACTGCCCTGGGGAGCCTGTTCCAGTGCCCAGCTGGGTGAAAACCACTATTGAACCAGCAGAGTGAATACTGCCCACAGGAGTCCTGTAATTTAGAAACCCCATGCTCAGAGAGGGCAGGTTGAAAACCTTTCTCTCCTTCCTTCTCTAAATTTATGCACAAAGAGGAAGTGAGATGAAATGCACCTGTAAAGCGAGGCCACTGTGGATGGTAGCTTTGAGTTTTTTAAATTCATCGAATCCCAGAATGGTTTGGGTTGGAAGGGACCTTAAAGCCCATCTCATTCCACCCCCTGCCATGGGCAGGGACACCTTCCACTAGAATTAGTTGTGAGCTTTTGAAATTTGTAACCTGTCGTCAATTTTTGAAGGAATGCAGATGTTGCTCCACTCAATGTTGCAACGTTTAAGTGATTTATTTACCATCCTCTGTTTTTCAGAAGTACTTGAGGGGTTGGCAATGTACAGATTTTTATCAAGATTTAAGGTGAACATAAGTCACTTGAGAAAATGCAGCTTAGTCATCTAAAGCAGCAAGGGCTGGATTTGGAGAGGTATTTGGAGGCAACACATTTCTTGTGGTGTTTCCAGGGGGCATCTGATGCCTTCAGAACTCACTTCAAAAACTACCCAAAAAGTGCTTCTAAAATGTGGACATTTAATCCTTTTAATCCCCTTAGAAACTGGATCCTAAGTGGAAAATTGCCCTAATTTCCCTTTGTACTTAAGTTACGCGAAAAACATTTATTTTGGTGTAAGAAGAGATCTGGACTTTGGAGCTTCCTGTGTATCTCTGTATATTTTTCTTTTTACAAACAGGGAGATCATTTATTTTAGTAGTTACAAATTTCTTCCAAGTGTGTCATTATGGCCAAATATTAATAACTCTTTATAATTATAATCCTCAGTGAGAGGCATGGGGAAAGGATATAATGTTTTCTGGTTTTGCCAGGCCTCTGTGTACTTGCCTTCCTTTCAAAGGATCTTAAACCAGGCTTAACTTTCCTGGCAGTATAACAGCTGGAATGGTGGGGGTTGCTGTTTCAGTCAATAAAAAGCAGTTTTTATGATAACATAACTGTTTAGCAAAACAGTTATTGACTTGTAGCAGAAATAGTGATGATCTCTGTCCTGCTGGAATGAGAATGCACTAGTAAGTGGTGGCTTGGTGGTAGGCATTTTATTTAGGCATATAAATTTCATGAGTAGGACTGGGAGATGCAAGAAAATGACTTTACAGAGTGCTTTTTGTCAGGAAGCATCGTGTAGTCTCCTCGTTTTCCACCGAGGACTCCGAGGCACCAGAATTTCACATGAATTTCATGTATCAGCTGAGAGCTGAATGCAGCACACCCATGTCCCATCCCTGTCACTTAATTATAACTCCATCCTCCTCCTCGTTGCTAAATGCTCGGTGATCTCTGATTTGTGTTCTCCAGTGAGGACAAGCTCTTTCTTAAGAGCTGAGAAAAAGGAGAGGGTGGTGTGTTTGTACTTTGGGCTGTTTCTCTTAATTATAATGTGACAAAGGAAATACATCAGTCTGTGAACAAACTGAGGCCAGTGCCGTGTTGTGAAACCAGCCCTTCATCAACCTGACCTGTGTGAAGGTGGCACACGCTGATAAAGCAGCTTTGGGTGTTCTTAAGCAGCAAGCTGAAAATAGGGGACAGCGGGAACTGTTGGTTTTGGGAGATTCACAGCTTGTAAAAATTCTTGGAGCAGGGTGAATGACAGAACTTCACATAACTGTGTTCACATAGAACCAACTCTGCCCAGGTAGTCACTAAAATCCCCATTTACCCTGCTGTGATGGAAAACTCTGGGCAGAAATTTATTCACGGAGAAGTCACATCCTCCTTCCCGTTCATCCATGCCCTCTTGGAAGCTGCAGTGCAGGTGGTGATGGATGTCATGGGATCCTGGGCATGTCTCCATGCCAGCACAGGGCAGGCTGTTCACTAGGTATTGGTTCTTACCAGCTGTGGGTTCCCACACCTAAACCCTTTCTGTTGGGTTTGGTGCTTTGGAGGTGAGCAAAGAGTCCCGCTGGGAGGATCAGGCAGGGTCTGAATTCCACTTTTCCTGTGGTTGGTGAACCTCTGAACCGATGAGGGTTTCAGTGCACCACTTGTAAGGTAACAGCTGGCATTGCCACAGTTCCCCTGCCTGCTGCCTTGTTCTTTGATCCAGACAGCTCCTACAGCTGACAGGGGAGGGATCCTGGACCTGCCATGTGCTGCTGGACAGACAGACAGTCATGGATGGTGTGGCTGGGCTCGGGGTTGTGGAGGCATTTGGGTTGGTATCGTTTGAGTTGCTTTTTAATGTACCCTGACACAACTATTACTTAAACACTCACAAGCCACTTTTGCTGTCTTTAGTTGGTTTTGACTTTTTTGGGGGGTTTTTTTGAGGAAATGATATGTAAGATACCTATAAGATAGTATTTTTTTTTATTTGTATTAGAGGGGTCCAGTTTGGTTCTAGACTCTCTGGGTGAGTTGTAGATGAGAAATAATGAGGCTTGGCTGGAACAACCAGTTTTGAAAATAGGAAGTGTCCAGATGAAAACATAGCAAGAAAGCACCAGGCACAGCCTGAAAAGCATGTCCCATACCAAGGGTATTGTCTGTGGTTTTAAATAAATTCCAGTGAATTTCTTGATTCTGGTCTTTCCCCCTTTTCCTTCTGGTTGGAATACATTGTAAGACCTTTGATACTTGGCTGGTTGTTTTGGTCCCAATGGCTGATATGCCAAATATATCACAAAGTTAATAGGGGGTTAGGAAAAGATAGAAAATATCCCTGTTTCAGTGTTGGAAATGCAAACCTGAGGTATGTTGTAGCAGGGTGTGAGTCAGTGTCTGGGCACTGTGGGCAGCCAGACAGCTCAAGTGTCCTAAGACAGGCTTTTAACATAGCAGTGTAGGTGTAAGGGCTGGGAGGCAATTGTGGGAGACCTGATCCTGCCTCCAGCACATCAGATATACCCACAATCTCTGTGCTCTGTCCCTGTAAAGGCAGTGTTGTCTGCCCTGCAGTATGCACTGGTCAGTCTCAGAGTTGGTCAAATTTATGACTATGTAGATAAAGCAAAGGTAGATGTGAGCTGGTGACCTCTTTTTATTAATTTTTTTTATTTTTGTTTCTTAACTTCACATCTTCTCCTACTTCCCTAGTTTGTTCAGGAGAGACCTGCTCCTGCTGTGTGCTTGGGCTCTGCAGGAAACAGGAACCCCCAGAAACTGCACAAAACTTGCTGGGGAATGTTTTAACAGCTGGGTTTTCACCTTCCTTACATTGTCTTAAGGATGCTTTCCCACTGAATACTGATGTGTGCTAAAAGGTGTACTCCAAGTATCACTCACTCTGTCCCTTGTGTGTGCAGTGTGCTTTTATCTGCTCCAGAACACATACTTGGAAATAATTCCTCCTGTTCTTTGTACCAGGGGAAGGTAATTGCAATGACAAGCTGTAAAATAACCCCTTTTTTATTTTTTCCTTACTGTACCCATTTGTCCCTGACTGACTAAATGCCTTGGAGCAGGTTGTGTGGAGAGGAGGAGTGTTATTCATTGAGATTAGTAGGTGTGGCTGCAGGAAAATCCAGCAGCCCCAGTGCAAGGTCTGACCTCCCAGAAAAGCTGCAGGGTGCAGTTCAGCTTTAAGATGCTCTATCCAGTATGAGTTTCCCTTACGTTTTGCCTGGGTGATTTCCCTCTCTCTGTTTTTGGACCAAATGAAACCCTATTTTCATAGATGATTTTTTGGTGGTTGTTGTTGTTGTTCTGGAGCTTAATCACCTCTAACTCTCTGACTTCCAGGTGGAGCACCAGTACTCACACATATTCACTGTGACAGTAAGGAAAGCCACAAATGTCACCAAGGGAGCCATTGGTGACATGCGTGAGTATTTCTCTTTCTATTTTGCTCTTTCTTCCATGAGGCTGTTGCCGTAGGCAGGGGGAGGTGATGACACATCCAGCTTGTCGTGCATTAAATGATTGTTCCTGGGCTGGGGGTGGTTTTTTGTCTGTCTTATTAAAGCCAGGGCAGTGTCCCTGTGTCATTGCTCACTCTCACTCAGGGCAGATTTGCTGCTCCTTCTTTCCATTGATCCAGAAGAGCTGAGTGAGTTGTAAACGATTTGCCTACAACAAGCAACACCTACAATTAGCTTTTTGGCTCAGTGTGTGAGTCCTGTGGGACTGGCAGTTGCTGCTGCCTCAGAAGGCTGTGGTTTGCTGGTGGGAACATGTCAAAGGAGAGGAGCCCAGAGCTCTGCTGAGTCAGTGCAGAGAAAAAAAATAAAAGCCATTTCAAAAACCAACCCAAAATGGGTCAGCAGATCTTGTGGTGGGGAGATACATGACACCAGCACTTCTTCCCCTTTCTGTGAGGCTGCTGGACTGTGTAGCTGAACAGGAAACCACCAGGAAGAACAACCCATGAAAACTCTTCTCTGCTCTAAAGGGGGGAAGAGGGAGAGAATATTGGCTGAATCTGCAGAAAGTATATTCCCACTTCCTCAGGTCTAACTGCTCTGCTGCCAGGTCATCTCTCCCTTTCCCTGGCACTCTGTGCAGAGCCTGGCATAGCCCAAGGCTGGGGTTGGGAGGGTGAGTGGTGTCCTGCTCCTGCTCTCCCATCAGGCTCCTTGGGCATGCAAATGCTTTCCAATTCCTGCTCTGACACTCAGCTTTGCTTCAGTGGGTTAACAGTGGGTTTTCAGAGTTAAAGTCTACTGTTGGTAGTAAAACTGGGGGAAGGACACTTGGAAGGGGAATGTTCAAGAGCCCCAAGTATGAGGGGAGAGAGGGGAGCCCTGGTGAAGGGAAAAAGAGGGAATTGGGAATCTGTTTAACATCTCCTGTGGGGTAAAGGATAGAACACCCAGAGAAGATGCAGTGGGGTGTGTATGTCCATATTTATATAATCTTTATACAAAAAAAACCTCAGGAGAAGTGCTGGAAGAGTGGAAGAAGGAGCCCACAGGTTTGTGTGTGTGAGAAGATGGACAACACAGGTTCTCAGACTCAGAGTTGTCTTTTGTGAGACAGTGTGGGGAACATGGGAAGAGAAAAGAGGAGGTTGAAGAGAGGACCCCATGATATGATATTAAAGGGAGTGGGGAAAGGGTAAAGAAAGCCAGAAGACCATGGCATTTTTGTCCACCATATTCCTATAGAATAAATTCCAAGTGCAATCCATTAATGTAATTTCTTTTTTTTTTCCTTCCAAAAAAACCCACCCTCTTATCTTTGCAAATCATCAAAACCAAAAAGCTGCTCAGGAAGAAGATTTTATTTTGATAAAACCTGTCAGAACTAAGGGCTACCAAAACCTGCTTTGTTTCCTGTCTGAGGCAGCTACCAGGGCTCTGTAGCCTGGGGCATCTCTGAGGGAGCTTCCAAGTTCCTGGGGCTGGTTCTTGGAGTCCTGGCAAATCCCCCAAAGTGAGAGAAACAGATCGTTGTGTCTGTTTTTATTTTGGGAAAGTGAGCAACGTTTTTATTTCCTGGGTTTTTACAAAGCTTGGTGTGTTGGAGCCTGGGAGCTCTTTGATCAAATCAGTGATCATGTTAATTACTGAGGAGAGATGCTTGGAGCTGTGAGTGCTGAAGGGTCTTTACAGTTGATTGTGCCAACATATATACATATATATATTTGTATGTTTATTTTTTTAATTTGATTTACCAAAACTGGAACTTGTGGAAGGAATTTCCAAACTGTTCTTGTCTCAAGGACAGGAATCACTGCCAGGAAGGGTGGCTGTGATGTGGTTGGGGTGGGTACCTGAATACCCTTCATGGACACTGTCCCATTATGGACACTACCAAGCTGTTGGCTCTTCTGGTGGATTGCACCTGATTTTTTTTCTACTGTGATTGTTCTGGGGTCAAGAGAGTTAATTTTACATTGTGGTGGTGATGGGGGAACAATGGGGGATTTTGTGTAATGTTTTGCTGTTCTTTTTGCCATGTCAGTTTTCCAAGACTTCCATTGACCCAAAAAATCTGGGTCAATCTAAGCTTATTAAATATGCTGAAGTGCTCTGTGTGATATTTTCATCTTAAGGCTCTGAACTCTGCCTCTGCTCAAAGAGTTTTAGCTGGAAGGTGGTGTGTGGATGGGCATGGAGGCCCTGAGTTCTGTCTCCTTAAGCCCAGGCAATATTTTAAGCATGTTTTTCAAGATTTGTTGAGCTCTTTGCTAACGAGGAGTGTAAATGGTTGTGTCATCCTTAAACCCAGGTCACAGGTGACCACTTACAGTGTAGCTTCCCCAGGCAGTGTGTTTCCAGGAGTGACCAGGTCACACGGGCAGCTCTGCTGATTCAAGACTTATTTTTAGTGCCTTGGCTGCTCTTTGTGGTGGAACAGCAGAGGAAGCTGGAGCTGGGATAGCCTCCAGCCCTCTGTTTGGCTGTGGTTTCCCATTGTGTCTGTGAGTTAACATTTCTGGGAGGTGATCTGACAAAGACAAGCAACCAAATCTAAATCTTGGTCATCCCAGGATCTGAGGAGCTGAGCTACAGTAGCTGCTGTTGCTACTCACTGATAGAGCACATCAAAATAAACCAAAATGGCAATAATTGCATAATAGAAATTTTCCATCCAGATGCTTTTCATGTGTGAAGGAAGTCAGTGTACTTTGACCAATTTGTCATTCTGTGAATGCATGTTTGGGGATGATAAATGAGATTTACTGCAAGAAATGACCCAGCATGGTTGGGAGGGGGCAAAAGAAGTTTGAGAGCAGACTCTCTTTCCAGGAGTTCATTCAAATCCTTTCTTATTAAAGGTATCTGCCCATTTACTGTTGCCTTAATATAGAAGTATTTTCTTTACTGATTTAACTTGTTTCAGTTTTTGGTGTCTCTGTCAAGGTGATTATGTCAGTCCAAGATATCATCATCCCATCAACATCCAGGTGATGCAGCTTTCCCCAGATGTAAATTCTGGTTCAGTGACTGCTCTATTCTCTGTGCTCAGCTCTTCTGACTGCATCTTTTACAGGCTGGAAGATTTTATGAGCTGAGTAACTGCAGCAGATGTTGGTGGGTTGACCTTGGCTGGTCTCTCTATCACTCCCCTGCCATCAACAACACAGGGGAGAAAATATGATGAAAGGCTCTCTTGGGTCAAGATAAGGAGAGGAGATCATTCACCTCTTACTGACATGGGCTACACACACTCAATTTGAGGAAATTCATGCCATTTATTGCCAATTAACTGTAGCAGAGTAGGATAGTTAGAAAGACAACTAAACCCACTTTATCACCTAGACCTGTCCTTCTTTCTGGTGTTCCTGCTGCAACCCTTGTACCACCTGTCAGACACATGTGAGGGGGGTGAGCCAGCTGAACTGGCAGAAAAACAGTTTAACACAAAAAGAGACAAAGAAATTTCTTAGGAAGGAATCCTTCCCTGGGAGGGTGGGGAGGCCCTGGCACAGGTTGCCCAGAGAAGCTGTGGCTGCCCCTGGATCCCTGGAAGTGTCCAAGGCCAGGTTGGACGGGGCTTGGAGCAACCTGGGCTAGTGGAAGGTGTCCCTGCCCAGGGCAGGGGGTGGCACTGGATGGGCTTTATGGTCCCTTCCCACCCAAACCATTCTGGGATTCTATTCCCCTGCTGCCCAAAAGCTGCCACAAAAACCTATTACAAGATAAAATATCACAGAATCTGCATGGCATTGGTGAGGATTTAGTTATCTTAAATGCTTAGCTTTCTGCTGAATACAGACCTTGTAAAATCACTTCTCTGACTGGAGCTCTTGGAAAAGATCTTTCCTCTGGTCTAGTGTGTTCCTATATAGTAGATGTTCAGTTTTGAGTCTACTCAGATGCCACCCAAACTGTAGAGCCTTTCCTTTCTTCCATGACAGTACAAGAACTTGCAGAAAAACGACCAGAATCCCAAACTGCAATATTGTAGAAGAGAAATGCTTGCAAACTGGTTCTTCTTTCCATAGCATCTCTCCCTTTCTGGATTTTCAGGGAGCTTGGTGGAAAATTTGGTCAAAGGAAGCACTGTAAAATTTGTCTTGTATCTTTAAAGATCCATTTCAGTATAATGGCTTTCAAAACAAGTGGAAGCATCTACAGAGGGAACCAGTTTTATGACTGTTCTTAATGATTGCTAATCTTGCTTAATCCTGTTTTGGATTTGCAGCTTTTACTTACTTCAGCTACTTTTGATGCTTTGATAATGAACATTTGTAATTCTGGGCCATTTCAAGGGGAAAAAAAAATCTTTTCTCAAGAAAGTTTAAAGTTTGATAGCTTTGTGACACTGGTACTTAGCTTCCATCCCAGTTGCTGTCTTCCCTGTTGAAATAAAAGATGCATTTCCATTGCAGTTAGGCTGAACTAGTGTGGTGTCAGCCACTAGTGTGGCTGTTCACCATCAGCCAGAGCTCCTGAGGCTGAACTTGGCCTAACTAAAGCCCAAGTCACAGCAGTCTAGAGCAGCCTAGGTAGGTGTGTGCAGGGTTTTAAACCTGGCCTAACAACAGGAGGAATTGGAGGTTTGCCTGCTTGTGTTGGAGTTGGTGTTACAGCAGCTGGTTCAGGACTGATCCAGCTGTTCTCAGGATCACATCTGGCTGCTCCTGCCCCCTGGCTTAGCTACCATAGCTGTTGAAGTGTCATCAGCTAAGGCTCTTCCTGCAAGGCCCTGGAGCAGGTTCTGATTTTTGCAAGGGAGTTGCAAGAGGAAAACAAGTCAAACTCCTTCCCTTTTCCATTCCAACAGCCTGGGAAAAGTAGGTCAGAGTTGGCCAATCCTCCACATCCTACAAGCTGCACATGCAGGTTTCCTGGCCAGGAGCCATAAGGTTTGAGCCCTCTGCCAGCCCCTGTGCTGACCCTGCTGTTTGCCATGGCCTGGAGTGCTCTGAGCTCC